TGCTACAGAACGTCAACCACTCGACCGGCCCATACTAAAAACAGTTTATCCGTGTAACACATGTCCTCTCAAAAATGTCCACCCGGTATCCCACCCTGGGGAATAAGTTTAAACACACTCCGATAATATATTACAACATTCCTACAACGGGAAAATAACCATCAAATCTTTTAAAATATATGCGTTAATATCATAACTATTTTTTAGATATATCAACTAAACTTATTGATAATATTTTTAATTATACTTGCGGTAGAAAAATACGAAACTGTGCGCGCGAAAAGCTAGTTTTACACAACTGCCGCTGCATTCTAATTTATGTTAGGGACAAGGGAAGTAACTCGTACTGACATGCATCCACAAATTATATTGGAATGCAACACGCATGCGCAGCCAGTTTTTTTTACAGAAAAAAAAATCGAAGCGCATGTTGATCTCCATCTATGTGTATAATTGGGTTCTAATTATTTTGTTTCATCTTATGTAACAGAAACCTTTGTAAAAGTGTGTACAATAAGTAAAAAACCCATGGTATAATCAGGTATTATATATTTATATATGGGTTAAATCTTGACTTCTGATAACATGTTATCCGTGCTTTGTAATGAATGGATTTTGTTTCGCACTTACAGGTCATGGCTGAGGCCGGCAAACCAGACAGTTCAGCAAAAACGAAACAAGAGCAAAACATGGAGGCTACCGATACTGACGAAACACTATTACAAGACGCTCTGATACTCCAAAACCAACTTGACTCCAGTATGAAATTGAGAGGCAAAGGCATGCTGCCTCTTTTTAAACGTAAGACCATCTTAGGTGTTGTTGTTGTTTTCGTTTTCTTTCTGAAATGAAACATATACGCTGTTAACATTACATATCGTTAAGTATAGCATAGTTTGGTGTCCATGTCATATACATGTATATACATATATACATGTACATGTATGTATCATGAATGAGACTATATTTATTCGTTGTTTTTGTGTGTGTGTGTGAAATTTACTTGCACAAGCGTAGATATGTGGTTTTATTGACTGAGACATGTAAAGCAGCATTAACGTGTCGTTTTCCTCTGTATATATCTCCTGATAATTTTATAGGTATGTGTTCGCGCGCCAGGTATCTCTCGGATACATGTTTACCTTAGTTTTACTTATTTAATCTTTCATACTTACCTTAATAATATACTTGTATTCATTGCAGTTCAGGCGATATGTATCAAACTTGTGAAACTTTCGCTTTATCTGGTAGACCCCCATCCCTACAAAAAATAACAATTAACACACATATATCAACTTTTCTATATATCTGCATTCTTATCATGTATAATACATTTTGTATACTGTTTTGAATTTAAATGTGTTTCAGCTTACTTCGGAGGATAACAATATCAGGTTAAATACATGTTGATAAGGAAGTAAAGACCTTACACAATGCCTGTCATAGGTCGTGACAAAGCGGTGAAGATTTCTGCCGTTTTCGCGCATTCCCGTCACGTAGACTCAAATATTTTGTTCTTGAACATATATATAGGAGTGCTGTGAATACAAAGTTAACAAATGTTCATCGTGCGAAAAGAAATTGCATATGTGGAAACGTATAGCTATTAACGAATATATCATTTTCCAAAAGACGTCATCCGGCTTTACTTTCAATTGTTATAATGAGGTATATGTTGTATGTATAGATCCCTCTCCAGCGGATGAAGGCGATGAAGAGGAAATCACACGAAGATGTAACGCCCACCAAGAACGGGAAAAAACAAAAGAGCGGCAAGTAGTACCTCTCTGTGTAAAGATCGAAGTACTCCCGAGTGTCATATTTCAATGAACACTTACGTAACTTAATAATAAATCATTTGATTTGAACCTTTTTGGTTAACAATAAATATTCAACATTACTTTCATGTTGTTCGTTATCTTTCATCTATAATTCGTCTCGTTAAATTTTCGTTGGAGTGGTTTTCAATTAATTTTAAAGAGCTATGGCGGAAAACTGCCCTTATTTCCCTAAGTCGCCATTTATGAAAACGGGAAAAAGTATTAATACATAAATAATTACTGATAGCGAAAATGAATATGATTTTTGAACTGCTGAGATAATATATATTGTTGATATGATACTACAAATATAGCCACATACACGATATCTATGAAAGTGATAGGGTTTCCCAGACTTAATTTTTTTTTTACTTTCAACACTTTCCCATCCGAGGACCAACTTTTTAATAACGTTTTTGATTCTGTGATGTTATATGCAAAAACAAATCGTGTGCCGGAAAATTGGTCCTCCTTTGGGAAAGTGCTCAAAATAATGAAAA